TCTTTCAATGCTCGGCTCAAACGCATCAATTGCGTTCGATACCGATCGCCTGTGATTGTTTCAATCGGTTTTAACAGTTCATAATACACTACGCCGAGCTGGTCCCATCAAATACAGAGCATGATCTTGGACGTCAAAATCACCGTTCTTGAAACCACTCACGACACGTTCTTTCACTAAGCGACCTCACCATAAGTATTTGAGAGCATTCGATGAGCCTCAGCCGCAGATTTCTTCATATTGAAGCAAAAAATTAAAACCTCCCACAAATGACGAGAATTTGACTCGTAAACTGACATTTTCAATCGAGAATAACTTTATGATGCAAACATAAATCGACTAATGTTTCTATGGGGTTATGTTGACAGATGCCCAAGTTTATTGTATGACGTCTATGATCTATTTATTTCGACCATCACTTACCGCTAAAGCAATCTATAAGAAAACGGCGGAAGCAAAGTTGTACACCTAATAGCAACAGAATATTTATATGACAAATAACGAAATAATGTTTCATTATTAGTTTCAAGTGAATTTTAGAAGTACAATTTTGTTTGTATATCATTAATTGCTACAATAACTAAAAATTATATTTTTCTATGCCATATTCGAGAATATCTACCTTCAGTATCTGTGCACGAAAACATTCTTTGAACAACTGATGTTTAAATACTAGTGTAATTCATTATATTGGGTCGTCCGGAAAGTTCGTGCCGATGTTGAAGGAAAATTGAAATGCAGAAAATTTTAATTTAATAAATACTATACTAAAATTTATTGGGAGTACAAATAAGTACTCCCGCCGTTTGCAAAAGACGGCGCCACTAATAAACTATAGTTAAAATTGATGTAAAACGACATATTGTAATGGATATCAGGCAACACTACCTTGGTATAATCTTGAAATATTAGCGATTTTGTATCATATATTGCATCATATATTTTTTTTTGTAAATGTCGAGTTTTGAGTCGAATAAGCGTCATTTGCGGGAACTTTTGATTTACTTCTTTAATTTAAAGAAATCTGCAGCTGAGGCTCATAGATTGCTTGTATGATGATGCTGCCTTAAGTGAAAGAAGTTGTCGTGAGTGGTTTCAAAAGTTTAAGAACGGTGAATTTGACATCGAAGACAAAGAATGTAGCGGAAGGCCGAAAGAAAACGTGGAAGCATTGGATGAAGATTTGTGCCAAACGCAAAAAGAACTTGCACTTACATTAGGAGTGACTCAACAACAAACAATTTCATATCATTTGAAATCATTGGGAATGATTCAAAAGCAAAGGAGGGTTCCATATGAACTGAAGCCGAGAAACGTTGAACGCCGATTTTTCACATGTGAAATGCTACTTGCCAGGCATAAACGAAAGTTTTTTGCATCGTATAGTCACTGGTGATGAAAAATGAATCCACTACGATAACCCAAAGAAGAGGAAATCATGAGAACTATCTGGCCATGCTTCAACATCGACAGCCAAGCTGAATATTCATGGAAAAAAACTCATGTTGTGTATTTGATGGGATCAGTTTGGTGTCGTGTATTATGAGTTGCTCAAACCGAACGAGATCATTACTGGGGCTCTCTACTGAACACAATTGATGAGATTGAGCCGAGCACTTAAGGAAAAACGCGCCCACTACTCCAGGCATGACAAAATTATTCTCCTGCATGATAATGCTTGATCACACGTTGCGGCGCCGGTCAAAACCTACTTAGAAACATTCAAGTGGAAAGTTCTACCCCACCCGTATTCTCCAGACATTGCTCCTTCTACCACTTGTTCCGATCGATGACGCATGGCTCTGAGCAGCACTTCACATCATATGAAGATACCAAAAATTGTATCGATGATTGGATAGCCTCAAAAGATGAAGTGTTCTTCTGACGCAGTATCCACATGCTACCAGAAAGATGGGAAAAAGTGGCTAGCGATGGTCATTACTTTGAATAAAACATTATGTACCGTTCTTTCACAATAAATGCTTAATTTTTGATAAAAAACGGCGGAAACTTATTTGTCTAAATTTTAATCGGCACGAACTTTCTGGACGACCCAATAGAATACAAAAATCAATGAATGCAAATACATATGAACAACTGTCATTTCTAAATACATCAAAGTATATTCATCTTACATTCTATTGTCTTTCCAATCTGCTAATTCTAGCTCAAGGAAACCCATCTTTTGTAAAGAGTACATGTTGGGTACCATATTGCCAAGTGTATGGAAGTGGCCACACAGATACACCATACTTTCTTTGTGGCTACCTTTAATATACAACATATTCACAAAATTATAATAAACTAATGGTTTCATAAAAAAGAGATATAATACATTTCTATAACATAATAAAATATAAGCATATTACCTAAAATATTTCTGATATTTGTGTCAGCTTGTGATATTATGCTGGATGTAGGATAATGCCCAAACACAACTGCATGAGCAGCATTGTTTTCTTTTGATCGATTAATTAACTGTTGTATCCTATTAATCTCATCCTGATCTAAAATACCAATGAAATTAAATGGTCTCTTAGGACCTGGTTTCAAGCAAGCGTCAATTGCAATAAAGGAGTATGTTTCAAGACCAGTATCAATATTGTACATGTAAGATCTGGGATGTTTCTTCCCTTGAATAGAATAGTATAAATAATAGTTATTTTTGGAATCAAAATTGATGATGTCGAAATTGTCTGAAAATATATTAACACATTTAGAACATATAATTTTCTTTGTGAGCATTGCTATACATGAATTTGCAGATGTGCAATTAGAATATATACTGTTCTTACCATGATTTCCTCTGACATCTAACCATAAAACTTTCTTGCTGACATTAGTCTGATCTATTATGTATCTATAATGTTGCCATTCTCGGTGTTCTTGTTTAGAACCAAATCCATCTTTAGCTACAGCATCAGTCAAATCTCCTATTAAAATATAAGCATGAAATATTTTAAATCAACTTCTTTTATTAGTACAAGTATGAAATATTATATCTTGTATCTGTAAAATATAAGTTACCAGAAGCAAGAACAACTCTAGGCTGAATAGAATTTACTGTCACATTACAGAATTCCTTGAACTCTGATAGCCTAGATGGATCCCTAAAGATACTTATATGTATATCAGTTATCTAAAGAGATAAAAAGAGAGATAAAAAATCTATCGTGATATATCTCCATAAAATACAACTGCAATTTGCAGAATATTGTCAACTATTCTAAATAATGACATTGACAAACCTGTAGGAACCATATTAAGTGATTATATGAATTTGCTATGTTATAATACTTTGGTTCAGTCCACTGTATCTTTCCGTTATTGTCTCCCAAGGTTTCATCTGGAAAATGAGGATTGATGCTGATCAAATCAGCTATATTCGCCATCAAGATGGAGAATATCAGCATCAGAACCAGGAGAATAACAGTGGACTTTGATATTTTCATCACTACGACAATATTTTACGAGATCGTGCGTTACTAGATTGGGTAAAGTCTGGTTGTCTTCGTCTGTCTTGATCCCAGCGTACAGCCGCGTTACTTATTCACACTTATTTACATATGGAAGTGCATGTACGTATCAGACATTTATTCCGGACAAATGAGCACGAAGGAAGGACGATCGAGCGATTTGGATCGCTCATGGTGTCCCTTGCATTCACTGTGACAACAAACGAAAAATGTAACACGACTAGAGATTTAGATCCGCGACTGTAACAAAAAAAAAGGGCTACGTGATGTTTTATACATAATGCGATTCGCGATAAAATTGAGAAGTTCAAAGCGAGAAATACCGGCTCGAGTTCCACAGTTCAAGACTGCATTATGCTTTTTAAACCAATCATCTTGCTGTTTACATTGATTCTAATCACTTGCTATGAGAAAAAGCATGTTTTAATTCTCAATCGCCGTCTTCTTTTATTATTTCTCTTTTACTGATGATCGTAGCTGATTATTCAAATGAATCGTAAAGCTTGTGAAAATGCACATTTTTACGAACCGCTCAAATCAGAGAGAAATCTCAGTATTCATGTAACTTTTTCTCTAGAGAGAACCATGAAAAGAGAAAATTTTTATGAAATTTATGAAAATTTTTTCACATCGACGAGGTAAGTGGAGTGTATTCCGAAATTTCGAACTGAGTTTGAAATGAGGTGAAAATTACAAAAGTAAGCTATGGTTACTAGGTATTGGCCAATTAAATTATGAATATTCTAGTGAATTTATTCACTTTTGTAATTTTTAAACCTCAAGATACATAATCGACCCTTAGTTGGTTGTTCCATTTTTTAAGTAAATTTTACTGCGAGATAAATCTGGTAATTGCACATGTGATTGAGTAATCTTGCTACTTACCCAACAGATAAAATTTAAAAAAAAGATAGAACAACTAGTCCTCAGTGTTGTTAGGGGTTCCGCACAATAAAAGAAACAGCCTTAACAGCACAAAATCGACTCTAAAGATTTGTTCGCGTCGCATGCTCCAACATGCTCCTACTCACTCCAATGCGCTCATTAGAATGAGTAGGAACTATAGCAGGAGCATGCGACGCGAACAAAGTCGACTATAACTCCTCGACGTCTGAAAAATAAACGTTCGTAAATCGACCTTAGACGACTTGGAAACGTCTCTAATGCCCGTACTCATAATCAGACCTTGTACTTAAGGCTTCCTTAAATTTATCTTTAGATGCTTAGCAGCCAATGAAATAATTCGTAGAGTATCTAAAGATAAATTTAAGGAAGCCTTAAACATAAGACCTGATTATGAATACGAGTATAAGTCATATAATGTTTCACTTCAATTTAAAGACTGTAAATCGACTTTAAATCAACCACTCTAGGCTATGGTTCCGATTCATGTCCATACGCTCATGAACAGCATTCATCCTTGTTTAACTATAGTTAAACAACAAGAATGAAAATGATTTCACATTTAAGCTTTGTGAGCGTAAATCGCACTAGACGTCCTAAAGTCAATTTTAGAAGGACGTCTGTACAAAGTCGACTTACAGTCAACTTACAGTCGACATATCGTTTGTGTTGTTAGGGAGGGAATAGAGAACAGAGAATAAGAATTTTAACCTATCAGAAATTATGTATTCCACAATACATGATTTTTGATTGGTTGAAATTCTTATTCTCTGTTCTCTATTCTCTGTTCCTTTTATTGCGGAGCTCCTTAGTTTTCACAATGGAACAACACAATTGCACTCAGTGAGCACTAGTTTTCTCAATGGAAAACGCTATAAAAGTATATAAATATTTTAAACGACTAACTATCTACTAATAATATTGTTACGTTATTTAAAATATGTGTATCATTTTATTATCAAAATTGATTGATATATTGTATCACTGCATTGAAATAGTTTATATAAAGCAGCTTTTAATATACACTGATCCAGTGTAGTGCGAGCGATTCGAATTCACCATAAGTTTAAAGATAGATTTGAAGAAATTAGGTCTTATAAGACTCAGATTTTCATGCTGACACTCGATTCGAATGTCGAGCATTAGCATGAAAATGCAGCCTTTTATTTTATTATTAAGACCAGTAGTCGATTCTTATTTCAAGATCCTCTTAAGTAATGTCTTAGGACGCTAATGCAGACCTCTGACTTTTTGGTTCGTGACTTCTTAAGATCATACTTAAATCGGTCTTGAATATAAGATTCGATTATGAATACCGGCCTAAAGCTCTTGACTACTCAGCCAAGAATTCTACGTTGATGATGGCGACACAGAATCGGCGATCTGGCGAAAAACCGGTAGCCACACACTTAAGCACGAGCCTATGTCCGTGTGCTCGCCTGTGGCGCGAGAATGAACAAGGCTGTATTCCATTTCACACATGATGCGCATACTACAATATTTATCCTTGTCATCGAATATTAAACAAGGATAAATGATGCATCATGCGTGAAATGGAACACAGTCCAAGACAGCGAGCTACTTCTCACACTAATCACTTATTTCAAGCGACCGAAAATGCTTTCTCGGCAATCTCGGCCGCTCGGCTTCGACACGTCGCGCACACACGATAACCGATGAAAATATACCTTTAGAATGAAAACATCGGTAAAGCTGTACATTCATTGGATATCGCGTGTCGCGCGCGACGAATGTCGCGTTAGTGTCCCAGAACCATTAGGCATTAGTAAGGGGCCGGAGGCATTCTAAATAACATATAAGTTTTAATAAATTGGAGTAAGTGTACTCCTCTCATTAATCCAGAATAGTATAAATTATGTTAAAACGCAATAGTTTACGAGATATTTAATTATTTATGATTTTTTTATGCACGTTACCCAGTCAGAAATGATAATGAAATTGACATTGAATCGACGTCGAATCGACTATCATGTCGATTCCATTATCATTTCTGACTGGGTATATAGTACACACCTCTGCAAACGAGAATGGACTGAAATTAATTGAAATGGATTCAGATTTTTAGAAATATTGATTCACGAATGTTAAAATGAATGCTTTTCAATCTTGAATGCATTTTTATTCATTTATAGGAATTGCATGGAGCATATTTCTATCTTTCAATCTAAAAATAATATTAGATTTTTCTGTACATCATGAATATTGTTCAATTCAAAATTTTGAATGAAGGAAATGCAGTTTTTCAATTGAATCTAATTGAATCCAATTGAATCCAATTAAATCCAAAAAAAAGTATTCGCTATTTAAAATACGCATTCGGATAGAACAAAATTTCAATCCATTTTGATCCATTCTCATTTGCTGGGATCATCCTTGTTTGGATGCGTTCGGCTTTGCAAATAGGAGGTGTCCATTTGCTCTTTTATCTTAAAAATCATTCGGCATCTTTCTGCTACATGTCATCTTATCTGCGTTTGGTATTAACATTTCTAGAACCAATCGAGATGCTCGATCCACTCCGGATTCAAAGATCAATCTCGCAGAGCTAATACAAATTTTCGCATCTAAATTAAATTCATAATCTGTATATTTATGATAATGTATCCAACTGATTCGTTAACACATAACATTCATCTCTCTTTTAATATTTCTATTTTACAAATAGTGTATTTGAACTGTTATAATATCTGAGTCTATAAACACTCAAACAAATGTTATCAATAGAAATTGATGGAGTACATCATCCCTGATAAAAATAAAACGTAAAGCAAATGTCAATAAAGCGTTAATTAATTGGAGTGTAAAGGAAGTCTAAGGAGGGAATAACAGAAATTTAAATGAAACCTGTAAGAAGCGAAAATTAGAACATAGAACGTAAAAGAAGCATCAACTAAATGTTAAAGAAACATAAATAAAGGTATAGATAAATTCTTCGGCAAGCATGAACAGAATTCGTTGAATGTAAATAGAGTGATTAGGCAGTCTAGAGAACGTAAACGGAGAACTTCACCGAGTTCTTAGACGAATATGAATGAAATGTAAGTCGAGGTCTTTGATATTGCAAATGATATTTTAAAATATATTTCATTTATTTGGTAAATATCTAAAAAAAGTACTACGTTTTCTTCTTGGAGCCCTAGGGGCTCAAAAGATTATTTCATTAGAACATAACTGAAAAATCTTACAATGTTACACTTTTGCTTTTCTCAATACCGTGAGACAAGTATTTTTCTTCCGTTTAACAAACACTGTTTCAATGTGACGAATTATTGAGTCTTAGTAAACGTTTTGTAAGGCGTTTACGCAAACGGCTTAAAAACAAAAAATGGTTTCTTCAACTCCATAACACAAGTGTTTTTTCTCCGCGCGCGCGCGTTTAGCAAACATTCTTCTACATATTTAATTTTCAAACAATACGCAACATCGCCACTAGAGGGACACAGAAAAATTCAATTTTTCACATTTAAAAAAATCACATCGAATAGGAAAAAAGATGCAGTACGATGAGACTTTTCAGTGAAAAATTTTATACCTTTTTTTTTGATAAAATGTCTGTTTAACAGACTTAATATATTTAATACTTAACACTTGAATTGAACGTTCATGTAAATATTAAACAAACATTCATGAAACTTCTTATTTTCAGAGAATGCTTTCCAAACGCTGCAGCGTTGCAATTTCCATTTTATGAATATTCCGTTTCTAAATTCTCAACGAACTTCTGCAAACATTCATGTAAACGTTAAACGTTTTATGAAACTTCTCATTTTCGTCAGGGTTACGGAGTCTTGGGGAAAGTTCGTGGAACGTGTATGAATATTCAAAACCACTAAGAGTCAATGGAAAGTCAATGAAGTGTTTAACAAGCAAGTGTTTAACAAGTGTTTAAAATTCTTTGTCCATACTTCTTTGATGCTTTGACGCTTTACATTTTCATCAAGAATACATACAATATTTAATGAGGAAAGTAAGTTTTTAATTTTTTTTCTCTTTATGAATTTGAAGTTACGTATTTGAAAATAAAGAATTTGCTAGTTAATTTTTAGATCAAAGCTTATGTTGCACATATAGAATGAAATAAAATTAAACTATATTAATATATTAAAGAACTAACAAATATAAATTAAGTGACATAACTTATAAATTGCTGAAATTTATTTTGCAATTTAGTATTTTTTTTTTTTAAGAAAATACCTTGCGTATGAGTCTGCTACATGTATGTGTAACGATCTATCTTTAGTATATGAGATTATTATCAGTTTCTAGTCAAACGAAAGAAATTTTCAATTAATAGGATATTTTTTATTTATTCATAAAAATAAACAATTTCATTTTATAATCTAACCTCAAAGGATAATTTACAGCTTTGTAACGATCGAAATTAATTCTTGGCTCGGATTGCTCGAAGATTACATGATCAAGCTCGACTCAGAGGATAGATTCTGTATATTGAAACGAGGTGAAAAATGAACGAATTTGATAATTACTAGAATATTGATATTATTTCATTGGTCACTAAAAAATTTGTTCACTTTTGTAATTTTCACCTCATTTCAAGATATAGAATTGATCCCTTGCTAGCTTACATCTCAGAT